GGAATTTTGGGTGGATGCTATATTTTTGGGGAATTTGCTCCTATAATGACTTTTGCGAATTATTCTTGGGTATCTTCCTTTTAATAAATAGATACTATTTATTTATTACTTTATTAGGTTAATGATGTGTAACAAAATCAAACCTGAAACACATCATTATAATGTTTTATGTTTTGAAATTATTTTTTATTTTATCTTGCTATATTTTAAAGTAAGATATATGTTTAGACAGTGTGCAATAATCTGCTTTTTTCAGAGGTATACTTTTATTTCTTACTCATTTTGTCATAAAGATACCACAGAATACCTACTAACTATCTGTGACAATCACTACAGTTCAGTGGTGACAATACAGTATGTCACCTAAATTATTTTGAACAAATGGAATAATTTTGTTATTAATATTACGAAAAAAGTTGCATCATTTTGACAACCATAATCAAGCAACAAAATTATAAAATACAAAAAATCCAATGCACATGCTTTAACAATTGGTTTTTGGATTATTTATTGAACAAGTACAATGATTTATACTTTTTTTAATTCTTGTAATTTAAAAGTATTTTGCAAATTTTTAATAGGTATTTTATTAATAAGTGATGCAGGACTTTCTTTATCGAGAAAACATATATAGAAAACATGTTTTTTAGTGTGGGTGAAAAAAAAATGGGTTATTTTTAAAACCGTGGGTGGATAAAGTGGGAATTTAGGGATTAGGCCTTCCAGCATATATATTTCATATGCTCCAAGGATTAGGCGATGGGAAATTTTAGATTTTCGGTTCGGCAACACTGTCGATCGATAATGTGGTGATTGGCACAGGGCACAGGCACATTTTATATTTTATTAAACTGTTTTAAATGGTGAATTGTGACTTGTAATTGTCTTTTTAACTAATAAAAACAGTATAAATTAAAGATTTCTAAGATTTATTGGTTGTAAAAATGTCTGAAGGAACGAGTAAAGAGCCTCAGAAAACTCCTATGGTTTATATTTGCGGAGGTAATGTTTTTAGTTAGGTTATGGTTTTGTATTTTTCTAATGAAACATTCAATTATTTTTTAGAATGCCATAATGAGAACGAAATTAGACCAAGAGATCCTATTCGATGCAGAGAATGTGGTTACAGGATTATGTACAAGAAGAGAACTAAAAGATGTATCCTTTTTATAATAATTTTTTTTTGCATGTTGCTAGAATCCCTATTCATTTTTGTTATAAGCACTCATTGAGATATAATAAAGAGGATATGACGATCAGGGCCGCCGAAAGCCATGATGGCCACCTGGGCAAAATACTGGGGGGGGGGGGGGGGGCACATTTATTTTTTTTACCTACAACCTCTTCATGTTCTACTAAAATGAATGTACTTACTAATTAGTACTACAAATGTTTGTAAAGAGCCGTAATTTCTTTGTGAATTGCTATAGTTTTGATATTGACCAATTATTGGTGTAGCAGCTGAGAAAAAATCATTAAAAACTATTATCTAGAGCTACATACAAAAATCTGATATTATATTTCTGCATTCTATTATTATAGGACTAGTGCTGAGTATATTCTCTAAAGCTGTCAGGCCCCCCTGCCCCTCCCTCTCGTTGGGCCTGATGAAGATTACTAATAGTGTCCTCACTTTTTATGTAATATGTCAAACTCAAGCTAGTAGATCTAGTCAGTTTTGGTGAGACTAAGTACCATTTATTTTTAAATAGATTCCTTTAAATGACATTCAAATCATTTTGATTACATTTTTCCATCACTTAAAGTTTGTCATATCAAAAAATAGTGTTTACGTTGTCTCTACTTCATTCTATCCCAATGTAATCACTGCACTGTTTAGAAAACTTTGTCCTGGTGAATCTGCCCCATCTGGCTAATTTATTTTCAGACTTGCTGCAAGAAACTTTTAGGAAACAAGAAAAAAAAATGTTTTATAAAAATATCCACTTGATATACCAGAAATAAAACATTCTAATCAACTAACATATTTACAACTTCTTGGTGTTATCTATATCTTTGTTTGAACGAAAAAAATTGGAACTGCCTCCTCTTGCACCAAAGTTAAAAAAGAAGGTAGTTTTCCACTAATTTTAAATAAAAAAGTTAAATATTTTTTAGCTTTTTTTACATATAGGTAGTACCTATAAAAATAACGGAAATATTGCTAAAAATTGAGCTGCCTTCTTCTTACAGCAATGTCCTATATTATTTGGCCTCCTGTATCCTTAACCATAAATAACCTCTTCTTATCTCTATTTTATTGCATTTTCATCTAAGGTACCTAAATCTCGAATATAAAAAAACATTTTCCTTAACACATTTATTACAGTGGTGGTGTTCGATGCTAGATAAAGGATGGACATCAATTATCAATAAATTCTAAATGAAAATGTATAACCTAAAATTAGTTTAAGGATTACTTACTTATAAAAATAAAAAATATAAATTATTAATGCTTTTTTTGATTAAAGTAACTTATATTGTAAATGTGAAACAAAGTTTGTTTTTCTCCAATAAAACTAAAAAATAGGTAGTCAAATAGAAGTAGTTAAAATTGTTAGGTGAAAATGTTTCTAGATTAAAATTGATTCACCCTAATCATATATTTTGAGGAAACCCCCGAGATTCCAACTAGAAGTAGGGATCTTTAACAAAATTATATATATTTTTTATGTACAGTGTCGGCTACTGAACGTTTTCCAATACGCCTTGCACAAGTGCATGTGAAAACTGCAGAGAGGTAACATTAGAGCCAGCCAGAATCAAATATATTAGTGTTGCCAGTTTATATGACCCATCCACATTGTATGTTATCATAAAACTAAAAAAGTTGTAGAATGGCTTTGATTTTCGACTTTTTTTATTCAATAAACACTTTGTATATAAAATGGATTGCAGTGGTAGAAATCCAAGGTATTTTTGAAATACAGGTACATAATAATATGTTGGGAATGGGGTGTTAATACACTGTGACCTAAAAGATCTGTTGTTCCCCCTTCTGTCGCTAATGCAGCAAGGAAATGTCTCAGTACCTATAACGACCCTTCCCATCCTATCTTTTCAAGGGAGTGGCTTCAAGTTAGGTAAATCTCCCTCTTCTATTTGATATGCTCCTAGGTATAATGCCCTTGGATTCTGGAGTGCTAATCATTTGGTCAGAATGAGAATGGAGGTTTCTTCCTCCTCCTCACATAATCTGCACTCACTATCTTCTACTACTCTCAGTTTACTAAGGTGTTCTTTTAGTCGGCAATGCCCAGTAAGGATCCCTGTTACAATACGTAGCCTGTTCTTGTTCAGGCAGATGCAGGCTTCCGATCTTTTCTGATTATGTTCACCCAGAAGAATCTTAGCCAAGATATTGTTCCAATTATCGGTTCTACTACTTCTTTTTCAATCTCCCTTAATATTATGTTCCCAAGAAGAGGTTTGAGCCCCTTGTGAGACTATCTGCAATATCGTTACCTTCTTCCCCGTTATGTCCCGAGACCCAAGTGAGAGTAACTGTATTTTCCTTGCCAAGCTCATTCATGTTTCTAGGCATCTCCAAACCATTTTTGAGCTGATTATGTAAGAGTTCAGCGCTTTGATGGCTGCTTGGCTATTGGACATGATGATAATCTCTTGTCTACGTTGGCCGTTATTTTAATGACGTCTGTACACAGTTAAAAAAATCTGATGTGTCTAACACATTACTTTCCTGTCTGGTTATTACAGGATTTTTCCGGTTATTTTCTATAACCTAATGTAGCACCCCTGTAAATATTCACCGTCCACTAAAATTCTGAAAAATTAAAATTTTATACTCTTCCTCAATTTTTTCTATTACGGTCCATTGTAGAGAAATCATATAGAATAAATATTGATATCGCAAACAACTTTTATTTGAACAATTTTCTTAAAAAATTGATTTTTGCAATTTTTGTCAAATTTCTCTAATACATATCCATTTTAGGAAAATTATGTAAAGGACAAAAATTATAGAAAATAACATTACAAACAACTTTTATTTAAAGAATTTTCTTCTACAAGCTTAAAAAACAGATATATTCCATAAAGTTGAAAAACGAACTTCTATAAAGTACCCCCAGATGTTCCGACTATGCCCAAAATTTAATCTGTTCACCGTAAGCATGCATAAAAGCTTAGATTTTAAATTTGGTGTTTTTCTCTTATTCCGTTTTTATACTTTTCCTCAAATTTTTCTATTACGGTCCATTTTAGAGAAATCATATCGATGGCTTAAGTGCAAAACGTCGTAACCCACAAAATTTCAAAAAATCTCTTTTCGTGTCATTGGAGTCGTATGTTTTAGCTGCGTCTTGTGAAAAACTATCACAAGCAACAGTATAAAATGAAATTAATTTTATGCGCCAAAACAAAAAGTTGCTCTTCGAAATTACATCTAAAGTCTATTTGGTTTTTTATTCCCCTGTAACATTTACTTTTTGGGGTTACGACGTTTTGCACTCAAGCCATCGATATATAGAATAAAAAATATAGAGAATGATATCGCAAACAACTTTTATTTGAACAATTTTCTTAAAAATTGAAATTTTGCACTTTTTGTCAATTTTCTCCAATACGGTCCATTTTAGGAAAATTTAGAATAAGGCAAAAATTATAGAGAATAATATTACAAGCAACTTTTATTTAAAGAATTTTCTTCTCCAAGCGTAAATAATAAGCAAAATATCGCATATCGCATGCTTTTGTTTCACCTAGAGTTCCTAGAGGCTCATTTAGAATGAGCCTCTATGGACATTCATTTCCTTATAAACGTCAACTTTCTGAATGAAATTATGAAAAAATCCGGGGCATATTGACCAACCCTCATTCCACCTACCCCAAAATCAAATCGATTGCCTGGAGTCCAGGGTCCTCAATTTTCAAGGTTGATGCGCAAGGGCACCGTTCTACGAAATCAGCAGAGGCTCGTCTTCGAAACGAATTTTCAAGGCCGATCGCGAGTGTGTAATCGATAAACTACCGTGTGTTCGGCCGGGTGCGTACGCGCAATGTAATTTCCCGTGCACCGCCAACATTTTCTTGTCCAGGTATAAATTTAAAAAACGCTTTTGACGCGGTGGTACCGCGACTTCTTCGGATCTAGTACGAGTCGGAAATCAGGAATTTCTTCACGAAGTGGTGGTGCTATAAATCTAGGGAATCGCTTCATGCAAACTTGCACCACGTGCGGGTGAAAGTACATAGTGCGTAGATACACTTGGCGGGAGATACGGTAATACCTATTTATATTTTGCTATTTATTACATAGGGTTATTGAATTATAACAGTAATACTATTCTGTAGGTAGATAGGTACCTATCTAGAGGTAACTTAGAAAAATATGAAACATCGATAAAAAATGAAAATATAGGTCCCTAAAATATCCTTTGACGGAGTTAAAATTAAAAAAACATATTTTTAAGATATCTTCAATATTTTTAGATTATTTTCATTTTGAAATCATATTTTTTCAGTAATTTAATGTAATGTTGCAGATAAAATATGGTCGCGCCCCATAATACGATATTATGCACTCTTAATACTGGAAAATTTGTATGTAAACAATCGCAGTAGGTAGTTGTGTTTTACTAGTGATTTATTATCACAAACTTAAATAAAATTATTTTAAACTAAAAAAAAAAATTGACCTATGCATTTTTGAGTTACAAATTCCAATTTTCAAAATTGATTGATAACGTTTTCTAACATTTTGTTAACGGAAAATGATACCTAAATAAAACATTGCTTGAAAAAAAAACATGTTATTGTCAATAAATTATTTATGTAATAATAATATATTTATGAATATGTAGATTTAGGTTTTAAACAATACAATCTCCCTGTCCCAACTGAATCCACTAAAAAAAAAAAAAAAAAAAAATTGTAGGTATAAATTATAAATTTGTTTCCAATGGTTTTTTAGGTGTTTGTTTAGATATACATGGCCCGTCTTAGGTCTCCCGGTACCAGATTATATGTATTTATTTGTTTTATTCGTAACTCTTTTCTTTGCACAAAATTCCTTAATAATGAGCATATTTAATCCAATTATATTTCTCTGATCCATGCTGTAATATATCCAGGTATCCAGACCACAGCATACCTATCCTATACTAACGCTTACACAATTCCTTCGCCCTAAAAGGGAAAATTTTTATTAATTTTTAATAGAATATATGCCAAGCTTTCCAGAAAGTTTTGAACTACATTTGGATAAAATACAGAAATATTCGGAATATGTATCTCTTGCCACCCACAGTTATTATAAAGTCACTTCCTTTATTATTAAAGTGCTCTCTTTTTATGCGAGTATGCTCATCAATTATGATTGTTATGTATACATTTTCGATTATGATATCGAACCATATTCCAATTATGACATTGGATATTATTTATGAGTTATGAGCCATCGACTTATTCCATTTACATTATTATCTGTAAAAACCAAGTTGTTAAAAATGAAAAATATATTAATTTTAACATATGCTAAAATAATAAAATTTCAATAAAATTCACCTTTATGGCTAGAGTGAATTCCATATCCAGAAAGTAGAGCTTTGTATGGATAGGGAGATATTGACTTTTAATATTATTTTTTATTGGTGTCTTCATCGGCCTTGTTACTGTTTCTCAGTGCCACTTTAGGGACAGCATTTTTAATTAGAACCCAACAGTAGATGGTCGAGTGGAGAATCCTACCTGTGCATCCAGAATTAATTTTTAATTTAATTAATTAAAAAAAAATTTAGGCCATCGGTGGAATTCGAAACCTGGACCCTTGGATTTGCATTTGTGCGTCGAGGCGACTATACAGAGGATTAAATCGTGCAATTTAACTTAGGGGTGAGGAAAGGCCTACTGAAATTAAATAAAATAAACAGTATCGGCTATTGAAAACCTTCCAATACGGCTTGATAGTGTCGAAGCGAAAACTACAGAGACTTCGCATTAGTTCGAGAAGGAAACGAATAATATCAACTTTGCCAACGGCTTGGCTGGGTTGGGATATCTGTCGTGTGCCTATCCGCAGACATACAGCATGATATACACACAGACGGTCAACAGTCACGATATGGATATCGTGCACCGAGAATTATCCCATGAAGCCAGGCGGTCGTTTACTGGCATAGTTTTTCTTAGTTTCCTGCTTGCGCTAATGATACTTAACTCCTGTATTTCGCTGCGACGCTAGCAAACCGTATTAGAAGGATTTTAATAGCTGAAATTGAATACGCCACACATCAAATCGTAAAAAACGAACCATACCTAATTAAATATTGACAGTCACCATGATATGATCCGAATCACTGTCGTCTTATCGAGTACGGTAGCGTAGGTGTCTACGGCGCGGCATTCATTTGTGCGCCAATTTCCTGGTAAACGAGACACGGTTTCGAATCCTACAAAAGATCATGTGAATTTATTTGCATGGTTCTTTATAGGATTTGATGGATGCCATATTAGCAGAAATTTAATTTCTGTTGATATGACATCCAGATTATTAAAAAAAACACCATGCATTACCGTTTTTCGATGATGGTTGGTGGGGTTTTCCGGGTTTTGCTCGCCTGTAAGTCAAATGGCACCATCAATCATCTTTAAGTCGTCCCGGAGCGCCATACGGCAAATAATGGGTTAAAATTCACTCGTAAGGGGGTGAATTAGGGAGAGTATTATTATTATATGACCTCTGAAGGCCAGGTAAACTGAGTACCTGTCGACGATAAACGAACTGCGCTATTTAACTGAAAAAATTAATATGGAATAGAAAAGTAATAAAAATAAAGAAATATCATAGTGGTCCCCAAACTTTTGCCATCCTAATCAGCCTACATCTGATATTGAACATTCTTTTAATGAATAGGTAGAGTCCGATTACAATAAGAACATGTCAGTCAACATTTGATGGAGCCACTCGTTGGCGATCGCGCCATCTACTTGGGCTCATTGTATTTGTATTAAAAACAAATATGAATCGTGGCGTTGCCAATAAAAATTTCCTTTTTAGTATAATTTTTTAATAAAAGGCCCATGGATTATAAAAAAAATTATCTCGGGAGGACACGACGACCGCCCTTAACTAGTACCTATATAGAGAACGTTCTTGGCTGTAGGACGCCGATACCGACTTATCTCGTGTAGTTTGTTTACTTGCCATATTCGTGTAGATATAAATAGATAGTTTCTGAGAAGAGTACAAACAATCATGGCTGACTTTACTGGAACAGATAATGTATTAAAATGAACAGAACATCATACAAAATTTATTCAAAATCAAGAAACAAAAAGAGTATTTTTATAGTTTGCGATTTACTATATTAACGAGATAATATTTGTAAGATCTTAAAAAAACATTCTCTATGCTATGTTCTAAGATTAGAGTTTTAATAAAATTAAAGTGGTTTTTTAGTCAGAAATTCTGAAAACTATCGAGGCAGTCAACGTGTTAAGTTCGAAATAATGGTTATGGCTAGGGTTGCCACCTGTCCTTTTTTCAAACAAATTGTCCTTGTTTCTTTTCAAAGCTTAAATTGTCTTTTTTACGGCACATGTCCTTTGTTACAGTACATGTGAAGCTCAGCAGAAGGACCAGTGGTTTATTAAAATAACTGAAAAATATTTTAATCGGATCCTTTTGTCGTCGCCGTTGTCCTTTATTTACTTTTCAAAAAGGCGGCAACCCTAGTTATGACGTAGTGAAGATCTTATTGGAATCGGACTCTAAAATACGTTATTACCTCCTGAAGCCAGACCTGTGGCTATTTTATGGTAACAACCTTTAGTTTTTCTATGATAACAACGATGAAACATAAACAAAAGTAAAAAGTACTTCAACTTTTTAAATAAATACAGAGTAGGTAAACATTTCTAAAATAATTTTACCTAATCACTGTGTACCTAACTAACGGTTAGTTTATTGACAGAGCATGTAAAATACCTACTATTAGAAATAGACAAGTACCTGTCTAGGAATGGGTACCTACCTCTATTTAATATGAATTAAGTTGCACTTTTATTAACTATAGGTGTGTAGGTCTTAACAAAAACAGAATAGTTTTTGGACATTTTTTATCTTTTTTTAGGGGTGATAGATTACAAAATTAAGGTACCTAGATAAATTCGTAATTTTGGTTTTGTTTCTTGTATATACAACAAAAGCAAAGTCGTGTAGGTACCTACGCTATACACAAAAATATATAAAATCAATTACTATTATTTAACCTCCGATAATAACTATTAGTATTTATTTTGATTGCAGTCATCAGCTACACGAAAATAATTTCAAGGCTGGCTACGCAGACGTTTTTATTGTATCGACTTTGGCCCATAATGGTAAAAAGAAAGAAAACAGGTGGGTTTGTCCCATCAACACAATCGTCGGTCTCTCGTCGTCCGTAAAAGCAGGCCTTCAACCACTTGAAAAGTTCGAAAATCCCTCGAAAAACTCGCATTCGCCGTCTATGGCGCGTGCGCATCGATAATATGCGAAAATCCAGACACCCGACTGTTGTTTTGTGTTGGTCGTGTTGACTGTGTTGACTGTTATCCAAAACAAGTGCAAGTGAATGTGAAAGACATTCGTCAAAAAATTCGTGTATTGAAACAGTTTTGTGTCATGTGTGGCGTTTTTTTCAAAAGTATTGCTAGATTGAATATTTATAAACTAGTGTATTTTGAGTGACAAATACGTAGCGAAGATAAAAAGCGAGGTACGTAGTTATTGTTTTTGTGTATGATATGATTATTCCCGGCTTAGCCTTGAATTAGTCGAAGATTTGTTAACCTAGGGCAAGTTCACAGCTAACTGCTGGCCTTATTCAATTAATAACAATGCAAATTGTAAACCTATTTAGTGAATAACATCGGATAATCAACATTGCGCCCAATATTTTACAATAAACGCGTGTACAGTGAAGGAGTTAGCAAAAAATGTATTGCAAGCAAAAAATGTATTGCAGCATTTTATTTCCACATTACCTTGTCTGCCTACTTTTGGACAACTTTCTACTAAAATAAATTCGGTGAATTATCTAAAAATTAAGAAATTTGGTAGATATGTCTGCCTATACACAGATATATACATGCGATAAAAATTCAGTTTCTGGGAAACGTTTGCGGTTATACAAATTATTTTATCAACGTTCTACCTATATACCTAGAGAAAATGTATCGTTTTTTTTGATAAGGACACATTTTTCATAAAATTAGTTGGTTTTTAATTTACTTAAATAACTAAAAAACTCATTTCTATAATTTTATTATTGGAGGTATTAGGTACAAGTACCTAGGTAATATTTTACCGAACTTATTGGTGTCATTAAATAAGTAAATAAACATTGAAAAGTAGTTATACCCTTATTATGTAATAGATGGTTTTGAACAATACTTCTTATATCCCACGTGGCCATATTGATTTCACCAGCTGGATGAAAGTAAAATGCGGTGCATTAGTGATGACGTAAAAAATGAGCTAAACAAATTACAGTTATGTTGTTTATAAATTAAATATTAGTTTTTTTTTAATTATTATTATTTCATTTAAGTAATTTTAGGTCTTAAAATATAAGTATTTCTAAAGTAAGTAGATACCAATTTAGTTAAATAATTGTTTAGTAGATAATTAACTTTTTTTATCTACCTATGTATTAGGTATTTTCAATATTGTACCTATTCATCTAAAATTTTAAAATCATACCTCTACCAGTCAGTCAGTTTTAGAATAGTCTGGTAATTAATACTGTGTATTCAACCCTTAAATATTTAAAAAATATATATTACAAGTTTGCCAAGCAATTAATTTTTTTGTTAAATTATAATAGAGATTGATGCAGACCCCAAATAAAAATATTATAATTTAGGTAGGTTAACTGATTTATTATTGGAAATGCCAGAAAATTTTTAAAACAAAAGTTGTTCTACCATATTTTACAATAATTATTCTTAAATATACAGGGTAGTTTATAAATGAGAGGCGAACCAAACTTTATAACAAACCTAGTTGTTTACACATCGTTAAACAATTTTAATAGCTCTTAAAAATGTTTTTCATTTCCATTCATTTGCTATGTTGTACACAGGGTGTGTCTAAACGCAAGGTTAAAATATTCTTAACTTTTTCAATTGCAATGTCCTGTATGTTAGGATACCACCACCAATTCATAAATTTATTTCTTGTTTGACAGTCCATATATCCAAACGCATTTTTCTTATTATTTTAATTAATGATTAATTAATTGGTAGGTACTATAACATACATGGTATTCCATTTGAAAAAAGTTGAAAAAATTGACACATCCTATATGAGCTCAACATAGCAAATTAATAAAAATTCAGTCTATTAAAATTGTTTGACAATAGGAAAATAATTAAATCTGTTATGCGTATAACTACCTACAGGGTATTTGGCTTAAAAAAATATGTTTGGACATATAAGAATAACTGTAAAATATGGCGGTAGACTTTTGTATTAAAAATTTCTTCAAATCTCCAATAATAAAACTGCTATCAATCAATTACATAGTGATGGGTCACTCTGTATATGTATAATGGGCTAACTTGTTGGTATCGTTAAATTTAATTCTAAAGTAATATACAGGGTGTTACAATAAAAAAATGAGTAAATTAAACCAAAAATAAGCCATACTTATGTCATGTTTCAAAACAATTTTTAAGTCATTGCTAATAACCCAGACAACACACCAAATCCCAGAGATATCCACAGAATATCTTTTGTGGATATCCAATATATCCACAGGATATCATAAATATCCCGTGGATCTAATATGGATATCCAAATGTCCGTCTATTGTCCAGGATATAGAAGATATTCTATGGATATCCAGCAAAATATCTAATGTTTATCTCCCAAACAATACACGAAATCCCAGAGATATCCACATAGTATATTTTGTGGATATCCAATATATCCATAGTATATCATAGACATCCACTGGATCTAATATGGATATCCAAATGTCCGTCTATATCCAGGATATAGAAATATATCCAGGATATAGAAAATATTCTATGGATATTTAGCAAAATATCTAATAGGTAGAGGTTCATAAGTAACCAATGGATATATCCTATAGATAGATGTTTAACATATCCAGTGTATATCCATTATTTTATATATTTAAGATATCGAAAATTATATGTCTATAGGGTGTCGTATTTAATGCTTCATTAATTTTTTTTTAAAGATAAGTATTGTTCCACTTTCAAAAAAAAATCGGAAAAAATGATGTGCATACTGATATATTTTGTACGTAATTATAAAACATTTAGATTACCCTGTATATTATAAAATATTATGGTTAAATACCTAATGTAACGTTATTAACTTACTCAAAAGTCACTAAAGAAATGTCAGGTCTCGTTTTAATAATTTCAAAACATAATTATTTTTTGTGGTTGACTGGATGGATCACCCCGTATAAAAAGTACACATAGCTAAATCTTTTGACCTGAAAATTGTGAACGGGTAGATATTAACTCCATGAAATATTTTCTGTATGGCGCAACTGTAAATTTATTGAATGTTTACAAAAATTTATTGTGATTTATTCGTAAATCACCCTGTAACAAATATTTTAAACGGAATGGACATTTCACCAAAACTTATATTAAACTTATATATTCTACATAAAAACAATCTAGCTTTTCAGTTGGAAGAAAAAATAACTAAAATCACCCTGTATCTCGAAAAATGGTCATAGTATCAGATTTAAAATTCATACCTCTTAAAACGGTGTTAAAATTATAATATACTGAGAAAATGGTTACATTTGACCGGGGAAACTTGTGGCTTTTGTACTTTTATAAAAATAGAATATCTTCCAACAACGAACTTTTTGCTCAAAATGCACTCAAGATTTTTTCTACGATCACACTTTTTTAAGAAATAGATATAAAAACTAAACATTTGTCGTAAGTAGTGTATACCCAAGTAGCACCGAACGGTTTTATTCAGTACTTCAAGGATTCTTTAAAACTGTAAAATAAAACTGCAATTAAAACTAATTGGTTTTAAAAGGAGCCTTAAGTAATAAATAGGCCTTCAGCATGAAAAGAGGTCAATATAACCAAAAATAAAAACCACCATAAAACTATATTACCTTGAACAATTGATTTTAAAGCTGCTGTGAAGACCCTTTTAAAACCACTTTAAATACATTTTAAACACACGCGGTTTTGAAGTGGACTTAATAATGTTAGTTACATGTATACTTTTAAAGATAATTTCTTATTGTTAACATATGAAAATAGATTTTTAAAACTATATACATAATTCTTTTAGCAAATAAAAGCAATTTATATTTGAAGATGATAATATGGTGGCGCTCTAACCATGAACTATAAAATAATAAAAAGTAAGGTAGTGATTTCGGAATGTTAGAGTAGAAATATATACTGCGCACCCGACTTTATCGATAAATGTTAACGAAAAAGTCTTAAAAAACTTAGGGGCCTTAAAATTTCTGAAGTTTTATAATCCAAAAAAAAAAAAACATAAATTAGAAAGAAAAATAATTTTATCTATTATTTTAGATTTTTTTGTATTAAAAAAAAATCGAAATTATACGTTTAAGTGGTTAACTTGTCGTTTTTATGTAAGCCTAAATATTTTTATCTATCATGGCTTCCACCATCTCGAGAAAGTAAAATGGCCGGAAATTCAATAAAACCGTTTAGTTAATGGACAAGGAAACGTTAAGATCAAATGGTTTTATTTAATCGAGTTTTATACTGTTCCAAAAGCACATGCCCTAGGCAAAAGAAAGGTTCGCTTGTGATTTAAACGGTTGTTTTAATACGGCTGTGATAAATGCCGCTCGGTTTTAATGTAAACCTAACTTTAAAATCTCCGTGTCATATCAGTCGTTTGTGTTTTGTGTATTTTTAGATTAATAATAATAATAATAATAATATATTGTTTTCAATTTTTCTAATTATTGTAGGTACACCCCTGTTTGACATGATACAAAATGCGGGGTTCATTTGGGCCACGTAAAAATAGGGGATGAGTTTAATTTTATTGTTTCTAACAAGAAGTACAGTTAGTCTTTACGATAACCAAATTAATTTAATTAAGAGCGTTCCGTTTTAATATAGCTATCTAATTGCATTTAAGAAAGCCGTTATAAGGAAAAGTAATAAAATAGTTTTAAAACGCAATATTTACTGACCAAATTGTCCTAAGCAGATTTAATAATAGGTTTTATTAGTTACATTAAGAATCTCTTTAAAACTACTTAAAAACTAAAACATCACAATCTAGAACATAATAAAACCAAACAACCTGTAAGCCCTTCATAAAACTAAGTAGCTTTAAAGTTAATTTAAACTAAACCATTTTAAAACTATAACAAATATTATTAGATACTTTAAAACCAGTATTAAATGCTAAACGGCTTTTAAGTGCCCGCAGTATATCTACAAGGTAACTTTAAAACCAGTATCTTCTTATTTACCACATTAAATCCATTTTAAAACTGAAATAAACCCAAAACGTTTTTATGGTGCTACTTGGGTAATGTGTCATCTATACCTACATTAATCATGAAAAGGGCAGTTGATATTCAAAGTCCATGTTAACTTGGATAATATAACAAAAAAACATGTAACTACGTACATATAACTTGAAAATCATTAAAAATAAATATTATTGTATTGTATCTAATTTAAATTAGGCGAGCAACAAAGCTGT